TACTACTTGTTTTGCTCTGTTAAACTGTATTTCTGTTTTACTACTTCGCTGACAGTGAAGTTGACTCCACCGGAGAGGCCGCCGCGGTTTGCTCCTCCCCGGTGCCGTCGCGCCTCCCATTCACCAGGAACCCTCCGCCGTCCTGTGCCGATGCCGTCCATCCGGTCCTCCGTCTGCGGAATATAAAACGTTCAACTTTTTTTTTTTCTTTTTTCTTTTTTTCTTTTTTCAATTTAGCGAAGCTGCTGCGACCATGGCTTACACGACAGCGGGTGGGACCAAGAAGAAGGTGTGCTACTACTACGACGGTACGGGACATCCTGAGCCTGTGGTCTGGAAGCATCTGTCAGGCTAACGTTAGCCGCTAGCTCCGCTCCTGCTGCTGGTGCTGCTGGTGAATGTAATAGTGTTAAACAGCAGCTAAGCTAACCGCCGCTAGCGTTAATAACCATCGTTTGAATGGCCTCCACGGTATTAACTCTTTCCACCCTGTTTGTTAACAGTTACATACGTGTGTAGCTAACATTTTTTAGCACTTTGCATTTAACGAAGAAACGTAAAAATGCTATCATTAATATGAACGATAATTAGCAAGAGTGAGAGCTTAACTAACACCATCAACACTCATTAGCATTGAGCCGTAATTGAATCCCGGAACAAAGCACCGAGATATTTCTATGAACCTGAATGAATAAATGGAAAATAATCAGCAGTAACTGTAGTTCAGAAGTTAAAGTTTCAGTCGTGAAACTCCAATTTCACCCACAATCTACGTTGGGCCTAATTAATGCGTTTCTTTGAGCCCAGATGAGCAGCTTTTTCACCGTCCTGACCCACAAACGGTGTCTCCCCCGGAGGATTCTTTATTTTTACGCTCAGCACTTCAGGTCAATGAGGACTTAATTAATCAAGGTATCTGCTGAGCTGGCTTTCCTGTTAATTTAACGTGGAGCAGCGCCAGAAAGAGTCACTTGATGGCATCACAATGATCTGGCACGGATAGAAGTGTTTATATACACCTAATATTGAGTTTTTCAGGAGCTCAGAGCTGCGTGTTTGTTGGCACGTAGTCCTTCATTCATCTGGCCTGCTAGACAGCCATGTGGCACAGGTCTGTTTACAGGCAGTTTTCTTCTTGATGTTGTAATGAATGAACAGCAGCTGCCATATTGTATTTGATATGGCTTATGTGTATTTTTCACCAGTGACAACAAACCAGTTGAACATATGTAAGCCAATTATTGTTTTAGGGCTAAGTGATTTTGGGAAAATATTTTTAAGTGCAAGCTTTCTGTCAGATACTGCGATTTGATTTGCGATATAAATTTATAAAGCTTGAATTCAATGTTTACTGTGTAATAGATTGTACACGTGTGATTATGTGAGTATTACCTCATGAGATACCATCAACAGCATGGCTGTCACACAAGGAGGATGCATGGATTTGTAAAACTGTTGAAGCAACAGTATAAATCCCAGATACACTGTAAAACTGTCAGTCGGACCCCAGCGTTCGTGCCTCGCGTGTACCCTTACATCCATAGTTTTTGGTCTCCATAAGTTGTGACAGGATATGTTTCATTTCTGTTCTTTCTCCTTAAGCTGAAGTAAATAATGCTGCCATTATTTCACCAGTTGCCCCTTGAAATGTCACATTCCCATTTTTTGTACAGTCAATTGTTTTGTGTTAATTATTGTTTTTATTATCAGTGCTGGAATTTTGTTATATAACTTCAACCAATTGTCTTTGCAGGTGACATAGGAAATTATTACTACGGACAAGGACACCCCATGAAACCGCATCGCATCCGGATGACTCACAACCTGCTTCTGAACTATGGACTGTACAGGAAAATGGAGATCTACGTATGTTTCCAACAACTTTAAGTTACTTAACCATATCGTTTGACCTTATGTGTCCCAGTGTCCACCTAACTTTTTTTCTTTTGTTTTTCAGAGACCACACAAAGCCACTGCAGATGAGATGACAAAATACCACAGTGATGACTACATCAAGTTCCTACGATCCATACGGCCAGACAACATGTCTGAGTTCAGCAAGCAAATGCAGCGGTGTAAGTTGTCATGGCTTCTTTGGGAAATGAAAGACGATTGAAATGTGTCTTAAAAAGTTCGAGGAGCTCCCCAGTGATCCTATTTTTATTGCTTTTACTGAAACTAATTGCTATGCTGCTCTATTTGAATTACCTGAGCTGCAAAAACACTCAGTCAAATCTGGAAACATTAAAACTTTAGGTTGTGGAAACACCCTTTTTTAGTAAGAAAAGGCATTGAATGTTGTCCAGTAGGAATTTTGAACGCTCA